CGCAGGGTTCTCGGGCGGTGCCCGGAGGTTGGGGCACTGACCTGCCCCGCTCCACAAAGGGCTCGGGCAGCTCGGGCGGTCGGTCCGGCAGCCCATGGCACCGGCTGGCTCCGTGACCCGGGCTGGGGCTCTGCTCCTGGTTCTTACCCAGGTCTGCCAGGAGACTTCTCTGAGAGGTGGGCACCAGGGAGCGGGAGGAGCTCCAGGCTGGGCTTTGCCAGGCTGGGCTTTGCCAGGCAGGGCCTTGCCAGGCTCTTTGCGCCGTCGGAGCCAGCCCAGCGTCATCGGTGTTTCTCAGAAGAAGGGAGAGCAGCAGTAATTTCGCAGCCTTCTGCAGGAGAGCACGGGGCATCGCCTGGCTGTGCCTTGGGAAAGCTGCGAAGATCTGTCTCCTACTGGGAGACTTGGGCCAGCTCGGAGGGAGGGTTTTCTGGCTGTGGCTAAAGCTTTGGAGAGCGGGAGCTGGACCTGCTTCCTGAGCTCAGGTACCGCGTGCGGAGAGCTAAGCCGTGCCATGGGCACGCTGCTGGGTGGCTGCCGGGGCCGTGGTTGGCGCTGCTCCTTGGACCCGGGAAGTGGGGAGGCTTTTCCAATGATTCCCTGGTCTCTTCACCAACAAACAACCAAGAAAAGCACCTTCGCTGGCTTGAAAATGGGTGCCTGGTGGCGGCGGAGGCCCGGGGGGTAGGGAGCCTGGGCACTCCCCATGAGCCGGGCGCTGGCAGCAGCAGGCACAGAGGGCTCGTTCGTGGAGCAAGGTCCTGGCTGGATCGGGCTGGTGTAAAGTCCCTGACGTGCCGTGACGCTGCCAGTTCTCCGCCCTCTCGTGTCCTCCGCGTCGTGCCACCTTCACGACTTGCTTCTCTTTTGCTTGGCAGCCTCCTCTGGTCCAAGCCATCTTCAACCGCGATGTAGAGGAGGTGCGGTCGCTGCTGAATCAGAAGGAGAACATTAATGTACTGGTGAGTGCTGCCTGGCCGGGCTCGGCCCGTTTCCTTCCCTGCGGCGCGGTTCTTGGGCAGAGGGGAGGGCAGAGGCTCAGCGGGTGAGCCGTGGGTGCTGCCAGGGGGGCTCTTTTCAGTGAGGATGGTCAGGATTTCTGGGTTCTGCTCCTGTCCCATGGCCTCGATCTTACCGTCTGTAAAATGGGGCGCAAGGAGGACCAGAACTCCTGCCCCTTCCCAGGAGCCGGCGAGAGCCTGGCGAAGCTGTCGGCCGTGCGGAGCGTCGCCGAGAGGCTGCGGGGTGCGTGGGAGGACTTGTCACGGAGGCTCGGCTTAGCCGCCCGGCCAGTTCACCTTTTCCTCCTTTGGGATGGGACCCAAAATGGTTTGGTGTGAAGGCGGCAGCTCCACCTCGTGAGAAGGTGGATCCCAGGCGGGGGGTGGGTTTGGGCTGCTCAGCAAAGCCGGGGTCCTGGGCAGCCGCCCGTGGTGCTGCTGAGCGTGGTTTGTCCTCACGTGGGGCGTGGGGACCGGGCACCGGCACAGGAAGGGGCAAAGGCTGCCTGTGAGCATTCCGGTCGGACTCGCCAGTGTGCCTTCCCTCGCCCTGGTTTAGGAGCTTCTGCAGGTAAGAGCGCGGCTGCTGCAACGTGGGCTGGCAGGTTGGCAGGCCCGGGTCCGCCCGGCGCGGTGGCACAGCCGGACAGGTGCCAGGTCAGCGGTTCTCGCGCTCTCAGCCCAAAAGCTGGGCTGAGCCGTGAGCTGTCGGCGAGAGCAGCCAGGTCTGGTTCACCGTCTTGCCCTCCTCCGAGCCGCGGCGTGAAGCGGGGCTGCGGTCCGTGCTGCCCCCGGCTGTGCCGCAGGCACCTGCCGGCTCTTTGGCACGTTCCTGTTTGTTCCGCTGGGCGCTTGGTCACGGCGTTCGCCCAAGCTGGCCCACAGAGCCCAGACCGGAGCGCTCCCCGATCCTCGTGGCGTTAAACCCTGAGCTCAAGGGCCGGCGTCCCGGGAGGGTGACGTGGTCCCCTGCGCCATCGGGACTAACGGTTCGACCGTGTCTCTGCTTATTTCACGGAGAAAAAGTGGGGATTTTTTGCCATGGCTACTTCGGTTGGGGATCCGGCAGCTCTTCGTCCTCTCTGGTCCGGAGAGTGTTGGGATTGTTTTGCTCAGCTCTTGCGCAGCTGCTGGAGGAATAAACCCACAATTGTTAACACTTAATTTCCTTTTTGTGTTCAGGTTTAGAAATGTTGTTGCTTGTTCATGACCTGCCAGCTGGGTTTCACTTTCACATCCTCCTGCCTGGCTGTGCCAGCACAAGGCGTTACCAAAAAAAAGTGAAACCGCCACCATTTTCCAAAGAGTTCATAACCTAACGAAAAGCAATTACATTTTTTTCCCCCAAATGGCAAAATCTGGGGCTTGAAACGAGTTGTGCTCGTCTGGTTTTCTGCTTGATGATTCCTGACTTGAGTGCGTGGCGTGTTCCCCGAGGAAAGCCTGAACCAAACGCCCGGAGGCAGAGGTTACCCAAACAGGTTACGCAGTTTTTCCGGTGGCTGATCCAATCCAGGATCAGAGAGGGGCTTCTGCACCTTCCTGCCCTCGGCAGCCGGCGGGTCTGAGTCTGGTTTCGGAGCTGTCTGTGATTCCGAGCGGTTGTATTGTCAGCTGAGAGGATGAAAGTGTGCGGAATGGGACAGCCTGCGTGCTGTCGGAGCGCGGCCGGGCTTTCGTCTCAGACCGCAGGGTGCTTTGCAGATGTTGGTTAAGTCCTGCAGCACCAGAGCCAGGTCGGGTTGGTCTCCAGGGAGTCAGTGGGGGGGATGGAATGAGTGGCTGGAGCTCTCCCAGCCTCCCTGTCTCGTGCTGGGGTTATGGCTCAGGTACCCTCTGCTCTGGCACCAGGTACCCCGTGGTGCCCGCGGAGCTCCCAAAGGGCCGTGCACCCCCGTGGCGCCGCAGGAGGGTGCTGGGTTTAGGCAGTTTTCCCCCCGTCCCGCATCCCGAGGTGCCACACGCGCTGACGGGAGGCGTTGGGGCAGACTGGAGCCGGGGAGGGATCTCGCTGCCCTCCAAGCTCATGGATGGTTTTCGTTTCTTACGTCCCCGCTCAGGACCAAGAAAGACGAACGCCGCTGCATGCTGCTGCCTACGTAGGAGATGTTGCAATCCTCGAGCTCCTCATCCTGTCAGGTAAGGGCCAAGGCTCGGGGCGCCCGGCTCGAGTGTGGCGCTGCCTGTACGGCGTCTTCTGATCTCCTCTGCTCGCAGGGGTGCAAGAGCAGTAGGTTTTGGTCACCCTCCAGGCAGCTCGTGCTTAAGCCGGTGGGGTTGCAGCCAGGGGGAGATTAGGAAACGTTGCCGTAATCCTAAGAGGTTTGTTCGGGCTGAGAAGCATCTTGGAACTGAAATAGCAGAGGTGGAAAGCAAGCCGGGAGGGGGACGTGTGCGAGGTGCTCCGCATCGGAAGGAAGCACGGGAGGAGGGACGCACGCCTCGGAGCTGCCCGCAGCAGCGGGATGCTCCAGGAGCCGAGGTTCACTTGCTCATG